TAATGATAATAATAATAATAATAATAATAATAATAATAATAATAATAATAATAATAATAATAATAATAACAAATAGCACTTGTAAATGTGAGAACCAACTACTAATATGGGATAACCTTGAAAAGTTTCCAGACCATCTGGGGACGGTAGTAACATGAAACTTGTTCTCATAGATTAAGTTCTTCTTTATGGGCTTTTCATACATTTTAACAAATGAAATACACGTCAGCTCATGAGCGATTATGTCATCATCATCATTGCTTTACTTAGCAAGGGTCAGGGTCGGGTACAGGCCGTGAACAAACACGTTCCACCTTTCCCTATCCGGGGCCAACCTCTTGATGATATTTCATGTCTTCCCACTTTTCTGTACATCGATTCCTGTAACTCTTCTCCAGGCCCCACGCTGTTTTCTCTTTTATTTTTTACTCTGTGGGTTCCAATATAATACTTTCCTTGTTATGCAGCTACCTGACTTCCTGAGAGTATGTGCAATCCATCGCCACCGCCCTCCCCTACCTCATCTCTGACTGGGTTCTGTCTTGTTCTCCTTAAAACTTCCTCGTTGGTGACCCTATCTTTCCATCTGATCCTTAGTTACTTCCTTAGACACTTGTTCTAGAAAGCCTGGTTCCTTTTTAATCAAGTCTGAGATGGGTTCCATGTCCCACATACATACATCAAGACTGACTTCACATTTGAGTTTAAAATCCTCAGTTTTATTTTAAAGTGAGATACATCCCTGGTCTTTAAATCCTATTCAAACATACAAAAGCAGCCTGTACTTTTCCGGTGCGGGAGTTTATTTCAGCGCCTATTCCTCCCTGTCTGTCAAATATACTTCCAATATATAGCAGAAGGATTCGACGTGTTTTAGTGCATTTTCTTCTGTTGTGACACACTCCTTTCGTTGTTCATCTATCCTTAGGCCCTTCGACTTTCCAGGGTGGATCCTCAATCCAACAGACACTGATAGGCTGTTTAAAACTGAGGTCTTTGCTTGCGTCTGTTCCTGAGTGTGTGACAGAAGGGAAGCGGTGCAAAGTTCAGATAGACCAACTATGTCCATGGGGTCCGCGGTATGCCATTTACATGTCCTCTGGTGGTTTCCTTCATTAGCAAATCGATCGCGAAGATGAACAGGAACTTCTACTGGATGTCGTGAGGGCTCCGTCACTCCATCTGGTGATACTCAAGTAGCCTTGTTAATCCTCTTGTAGGGAAAAACAGAGCATCCAATGACAAAACTGTTGAAAGCACAGATATTTGCAAATCATTCACCGTTCTCATTCATTTGTCCTAAACAATGTTGTCCCATATTTCCCTCATAACCTACGTTGTCCTGGCCAATATTGGCATTGGCATCTCCCTTTATGGTGTTGACATCCTTACTGGATAGTTTGTCAATTATGCCCTGGATCAGGCTGTAAAAGGCATATTTGTCTTCATCCGAAGCATCATTTGTTGGGGCGTAGATCTGGACTATATTCATGTTGATGCTCTTTCTCCTTGCTGTTGATGAAGCCATGATGATCCTCTCCACGTGTGGTTCCCATCCTCTAAGTGACTTCTGGGCATGCTTACTCAAAATGATTCCAACTCCTTCAACATGGTGCCTGTCTTCCCTTCCAGAATACAATATTTGTTCCCCCGAGCTGAGCTTCTTCTGTCCAGACTGTATTCAGTGGGGTTAGCTGACTCCTAATTTGAGCATCCGGTATCTCTTCATCTTTTCTGACGCTTGAGAATTCTTCCCTGCTTCATACATGGTTTGAACATTCCCCGACGCAATGCTGGGAGACTTGTTCAGCAGAAAAGGTTTCGGGCTAAGGGAGTCCTTTCGGGTTCGACTATAGTCCTAAGTTATTCCTACTGTTGCAGAAGCTCCTCTGTCTCCGAAGATCAAAAAATAAATAGACATGCTTGTTCGTGCTTCTGAAATTTCAGTTTTTAGAGGGTCGGGTAGTTGGCTCTCTACAGAAAATCACTTTTCGGGAAACCAGTACGTTCCATTAGTCGCCTCTTACGACGCACAATATAACTGTGGGGATTATTCTACGCTTCCCCAGAGTAATACGATGCCCCCCCCCCCCACACCTGCAGGGATGGAGCGGTTATGTAAGGTTGAATAATTTAATAACATATTATTATGACGACCATCTTGTCAGGATGTGGGATGATTTTTTTCAGAAAATTTCAGGACTGAAAGTCTAACATCCAACTGAGCTCCTAAAGTGTATACCAGTCTCAGGACTTGGGAGTATATAGTACTAAAAGGGGACTTCATGTAAGGTCTTGTCATCATCTTGTGCGAAAGACTACTAGCACTTATAAAAAGTGTTTAGCATTAAATGAGTACTTAGCGTAAAGTTTTATTTTAATGATTAGAAGAGTACAAATTTTAATTTGGAATAATTTGAAAGTCCACCGAACCAAACTGGTAGGAATGACTCCACTCGTTTGTGTAAGGAAACGATTTTACGGGATTTGCAGAAACATTTCATCTTGGATGCAGTGATTTTGCTTCCATTGGTCCTACTTAATGTCAAGGTCTGGCATTTGTAGCATAAGGTTGGTACTTGGAGTGATAGACTGTCTCTTATTATCTGTAGATGTTTGGGTGACACAGATGGGTTGCGAGCTACTGGGTGGCGGTGTTGGCTTTTTTAGTTCGAATTTCTCATTTCTCTGTCTATAGACTCGATTTCTGTTTTGAATAATGCTGTCGAAATATTTAAACTCCTCGAGAACTGTTTCAGTGAACGTTTTGTAATTGTCTGAAAATAATCCCGGTTGAATGGGCTCAAACCCCAGATCTCTCACATCAGAAGTGACTTTCTACCACGGACGACCCCTATAAGTTCAAATCCACAAAGATATCCACCGAATGCAACACAAGCTAGCACCATATAGAACTCAATGCTGTCAAGAAGTGAATTTTTAGGTACATAACATCAAATTCTTGCTTAGTAAAGAAGCTATACATGTAGACCGAAATAACTGTTTTTCAGGCACATGTGTGTGTGTGTCTCTCTCTCTCTCTCTCTCTCTCTCTCTCTCTCTCTCTCTCTCTCTCTCTCGCTCTCGCTCTCTCGGACCAGTTTATGCTATTTTGTTTCCGCACAGTCGAACAAGATCCTGAAACTCTATCCTTGACAAGAGACGTATCATTATTTTGAAGTTTTCTTTGTTTGTTCTAAATATCGATAAAAATAATATATCAATGGCTCTAAAGATAAAAGAATCATGTGTCAACCAGAGTAATCTAATTGGCCATGCACATCTTATTACCTCTGCTTTATTTACTATGATAGACTCAAATTGTCTGTACAGTTTAAGGGTTGATAGCTAGCGCATAATTAAGGCAATATTCCGTATACATTGAAATCGACATTGGTCTCTTGCTTGGATTTAGAATTATGACTCAGAGACCACGTGGTGGCGAAAGGGCGGGGCCCAAAAGATAGAATTTGCAACACCTGGAGAGTAAGTGTGCGCTTGAACTTTTAGTAGAGAGGTTTTTTTAATGTTTATAGCCTACATATAATTGGGTACTGAGATGGGAATTTTGTTCAGTTCCAAGACTTTTTTTAATCCTCATAGGAGTCTTCGGGAGGGCATTTTAAATTATTTTAGCCATAGTCAGTGTCAAACTTGAGTGTAAGCCAGGATAATGTTTCAAGTCCCAAAACGATAGGTATATATTCAAAAGTAAGCTCCAAAGTTGGTAGGAGTACAAACCCAAGCACAAAGACGCGAGCGTGTGAGAGGGGAATAATGTGTTATTACTTACACCAAAGGATATTGACCTACTTATTTCCTTATGACCATGACCGATATTATTTTCAAAGTGTTAGTCTCTCTCTCTCTCTCTCTCTCTCTCTCTCTCTCTCTCTCTCTCTCTCTCTCGCTGTGTGTGTGTGTGTGTGTGTGTGTGTGTGTGTGTGTGTGAGTGTGTGTGTATGACCCTCTCTCTCCCTGGCTCTCTCTCTCGCTCTCTCTCTCTCTCGCTCTCTCTCTCTCTCTTTCTCTCTCTCTCTCACTCACTCTCTGTTTTTCCCGCCTTCTCTTTCCTTTTCTCTCTCCCTTTCTCCCTCTCTACTTTTCTCTCTCCCTTTCTCCCTCTCTGCCGCTATCTCTCTCCCTTTTCTTTTTCTCTCCCTCCTCTCTCTCCGTTTTTTTTTCTTTCTCTTTGCCTTTCTCTTACAAACACACAGTTTCTTAGTATGAGGTTTTTTTCATCAACTTTCCCTATTCCCCTCTCTCTCTCTCTCTGTCTTTATCTATCTATTTATCCATCTATCCATCTATCTATCTATCTCTCTCTCTCTCTCTCTCTCTCTA